TCAACCAGCCAGGCACATGGACACTGCTTGGGTGTAGGATACAAGGTAGGATACTCTGCCAAGCATCCTTGGTCATATGCCTGCATCCACACCCCTTGTTCTATTTGGGATGAGGTACCTGCAGATCTCAAGTCATCATGGTAAGGTGTAGCATGACACAAAGTTCCCACATAGGTTGGAGTTTCCATGCCAAAAGCCAGCCTGCATCCTGCTCCATCCCTTATTTTCAGGAGCAGCACTGAGCTGAGACCATTGCTACGTGTCCCGGCGGGTTTTGCTCTCCTGGAGATCCAAACTAGCTTTTTTCAGGGTCTTTGGACCCCTGTGAATCCACATGGAAGCAAAAGCAGCTCCCAGCCTGGTAGGAAATAACAACAGCAGTGTAACTGCTCAGCACGGCACAACCTCAGTGCTCAACTGCTGTCCCTCATGCATTATTAATCTGATATCTCACAGCATCCTATCTCATAAGGGGATGCCTGTTCATCCTGACCCTTGATGCTCCCCTGCACCAGCCCTGATCCGTGTGATAAGTTGTGCCAATCTCAGGTCTTGGTTCACCTCCTCTTGTAGAGCAACGAGCTGATGAAAGATGGATCATGGCTCTCATTGCTGCCGTTGTGCAGATGGATGGAGGCACTGATGATTGTTGATAGTGCTCAGTCTGTTGGCCAGGTTTTGGTTTTCCTGCTCCATGCCTTTATCTCCATGATTTAAAGGCGTGTGGGGAGCCCTCTGCCAAGCAGGTTTCTGCTGGCTCTGCAGTTTTTGAAATGCTGCCGTGATTTTTGCATCCATGGATTCAATTTTCAGAGCAGTTTTGGGTGGTGGATGCTGCTCCCCGACATGGAGAACAGGTCAACCCTTGCCAAGAGGTGTCAGGAGGCATGATTTGCTCATCTGTGTCCTTAAATAGCAAGATTTGCCTATCTGATAGGCAATACCTTAGAACAAACTTTATTTTGAGAGCCCTGCAGGGAAAATGCAGCAGCGTTATACAATTTAGGACTGCGTGCCCCACAGGGGCAGTGCCACAGTTCTACATGCACGTGCCAATCTTTGCACTGCAGACGCATTTTGCTTGGCCCCGATGCTCATGGCGTCACCCCACTCATCCCACTGGAGCTTGGATGAACCCGTGAGCCCCCACCTCTGGCATTTCCAACAAGAAGACAGTGGCGGTGCCAGCTCTGTTGTCTCCAGGGAGCAGGCACCCAGGTGTGCTTGGTCATGGGATGGGTGACAATGTCACCGTGTCGCCGCAGGCTCAGGTGTACAACAGCTCCAATAAAGCTGATGGCTGCATTTTTACACCCAGAACATCCCCCAGAGGAGCTGTGTGTGTGCACTCCAGAGAGGGTAGGGGCAGAGACTGGAAGGCTCCCCCCTGCCCAGCTCCTAAAGGGAGGGAGTGATGGGATTTATGGTAGGCAGAGCCCCCGGGTTGTGTTTCACCCCGACACATGGCTCGGGTGACTTGGGGCATGGCAGGCCACCAAAGGCACCGTGTCATCGATGCTTGTCACCTCTTGAAGAAGGGCAGAGAAATTAAGAGTGGGGGACCCTATTGCTCCACCCTTCTGCTTTCTGCACCGATTTCGTGTGACCGTCTCTATGGGAAAATTCAACCAAGCATTGTGTATGGAGTTCCTCATTGTTTTTTTTGTTTTGTTGTTTTTTTTTTTTTTTTTTTTTAATAAAGTTGTTGTCGTCCCCGTTGTTACTAAATGTCTTTTATTAACTTGTGCGGTTTTGTATTTAAATAAAAGAGTTTCTGCCTGGAGCTTTGCTCATCTTTCAGCATTATGACTCTACCAGAGTCATGCAGTGAGTGGGAAACGGGCACAAATGTCCCACGTTGTTCCCTTGAGGAAGCTGAACACGAAAATGCAAATCTTCCAACTTCTGGGTTTGTATGTAGTACCCCCACTCCAATCTGAAAATTCAGATATTTGGAGAAATTTCTTCTCAGAACGAGTGATCATGCATTGGAACAGGCTGCCCATGGAGATGGTGGAGTAACCATCCCTGGAAGCGTTCAAGAAACACGGTTTCCTCATCAAAAACCTGAATTCACCGATAATGATGAGTGGCAAGGTCCCCAGGGGTGGCCATTGCAAGGCAACGGTGGCCAGGAGCGTTGAAGCACTCAGCGATGGGCACGGCAGGGTTTTATCCATGCCTCTTGGATGCTGCCTTAGGGTGAGAAAGCGTTGCATGAGCTCGGCCCTATGGGGACAGCAGGAGGAGGAGGGAGGAGGGATACAGAGCAGTGTTTCTGGAGGGCACCGTAAACATTTCCTGGAAAACCCTCAGGCACGATCCAGGGCTGCTGGCACAGCTCTTGGTCCCCTGCTGGGGAAGCAGGTGCCAGGGTAGCATCTCCCTCAAGCTGCCCATCATCACTGTGGCTGTCCCCAGCCCTCCTCCCCCCTGTCCTGTCCCATGTCTTCACACAATTTTTAACCTTACCAGGATTATTTTTGACCCTTCCCTCGGGTCAGATCTGTGCTTAGCGGTGGCTAAGGGACGGTCACCAGGATGGTGCCATCGCTTTTGGTTTGCACATCCCCTCTGTAACCCCACTTCTGCAGCCTGCCAAATCCGACAGCAATTTGGGGAAACTGAGGCAGCGCTGACACGGGATCGTGGTGCCCATCCATACTCCAAGGGTTAAAGGGCCACAGAAGCTAAAAGCAAAGGGTGACGCGATCCCGCTGCCATCCCGTGCCCTCCAACCTGGTTATGTCACTCGACCGCCAGCGAGTAAACTTAGATGATCAACGTGACGTGGTGGGGAGGGAAGGGATGGGGCTAAAAATACCAAGCGACGGCCCCGCTTGGATCCTGGCCTGATCCTAATCCCTCCGTGGCTCCTGTCCACTGCTGGTGATTCCAATTGGGTACCCCAAGGATGCTCATGGGAGGTGGCACCCACTGGGTTGTGGCAAATCCCAATGACACCACATTACAGGTTGTGGAGTTGTTGCAAACTGTGTTTTCAATTTTGGGTGCATTTTTCCATGTTGCTGCAGGTGGTTTTCAAGCTGGAAGAGCACAAGAAAACATGGTTAAAACATCCCACAAGATGCATTTTTGTTATTGCACTACATCGTCAAACCATCCTTTCTTGCATCCTCCCCCACCTTTATATCACCTCCGTCCCATAGCCCCTGTGCATTGCAGTCCATAAAATCATCATTTGACTTTCAGAAGTATTTATAGATACTGGATGTATTGGTAGATATTGGGGATATTGATAACGCATGGAGAAATATGAATGGCCCTTGGTTTTAACTGTTTGGGATGCAGCAGGTTTTCTTTGCTTTGCCTCCTCAACAAACAAACGAACCCTTTTGCTTTAATTCAGCCCTGCCTGTCAGCAGGAAAATGGGAAAAACTGTGTCCCCATCCCCAAATCCTCACACTGGGGGTCTCTGCCAGCCCAATGGGTGAGTGTGGATGGAGGGAGTGGATAGAGGTGGTCCACCCTTGGGGTCAGGCTGTGGTGGTGTAAGTGGCATCCTCGTGGGTGTGGATGGAGAGGACCCCATAGGATGGAGGTGGTTCACACTTGGGCCATGGTGGCATCCCTGTGCCTCAGTTTCCTCTGGACACATTGTGCCATGTGCTTTATCCCTGGCTCTGGTGTGCATCTCCACACCAACCCTAACCCCTCTAACACCACCCTTGACCCCATTATCATCAATCCCAAAGCTCTCCAAGTGCTGGGGCTCCCCAAACATCCCCCACCCTCCTCCCTCCCACGTTGCAGCCCCACCAGCCACGAGGTGGCAGGGCTGGGAGCAGCGTCCACACCTGGACCACATCCCAAAGGATGCTCAGCACCCCACAGCATCCCAGCACGATGGGATCTCATGCACTGGGATGCACCTTCACCCTGTAACCCCTACATTCACCCTATAACACTTGCATTCACCCTATAATCCCTATAATCCCCTTCGTTCACTCTACATTCACGCCTCAAAGTGATGAAACAGCTCCAAGATGCTCAGGTGACTTTTTGGTGCTTCTCACCTTGATTTTACCAATGTTTTTTTTCCACCTGGAAGACCCAGTGAAGATCCATAGTGCCAACTTCGCATCAAACGAGCAGAAAATCAGCCTGACGCCTATTCATTGAATGCAGGGATTGGTGTTTGCATTCTCCCTAAAAAACAACAGATCATGGGAAAATCCTAAAAAAGAATTCCAAAAATTCTAGCTAAGGCATTGTGCAAGTGGAGCTGTGCCATGGGAAGGATGCTAAGCATTCCCCCCAGTGAGAACAGCGAGCTAGGAGGGGGCTGCCCCCATGTTTGGTATCTGATTATCTGTGGGATGCTGAGACATCCTGTGAAATTTGGGCTGAATAAACCACATTTTCGTTTTTCCCCTCATTCTTTTGGGGGTTCTCGGATGGAAATTGAGGGATTTGTTTTGTTTTGTTTTGTTTTCCATCATTACGATCCTTGCAGCTTGCTTGGGGTGGTGGCTGGGAGCTGTGAGGGTGAGGACACGGGGGTGCCTATAGAGGGTTCCTATAGGGGGTGCCTACAGGGGGTAGTACCATAGGGGAAAGCTCTACGCCACCCTCCTGGGGGCTCCTGCGGGGCTCCCGCGGGCAGCGCCGAGCTCCCTCCTTTCATTGATTGACAGCCACCCAGGGACGTTGCCATGGGAATATGTAAATATCCTCGGGCGGTCGCCTCTATGATTGGCTGGCGGACCCTAAGACCCGCCTTAGGGGCGGGTATAAAGGGGCTCTCCCCATATATAAGGCGGAGGGCTCCATTCAGCGCTGTGCCGCGGAGGGTGCGGGCGGGGAGAGGGTAGCCGTGCGTTCCCCGCCCCTCCCGTGTTGTCCGGGGAGGGGAGGAGAAAAGAGGAGGAGGAGGAGGGCAGAGGAAGGCTCACAGCCCCGGGGAGGTGGGGCTGGGGCAGGTGCCAAGGGGAAGGCAGGAAGGGGCGGGCAGGGCGCTGCCCCGTTGCTCGCCATTGGGAGGCAGCGGAGGAACCGCAGAGAGCTCCGGGCATCCCGCACTGAGAGACCCGTGGTGCGCTTCGCTCCCGGGTGAAAGCTGGGGTTGAGCTCCTGTGCGTGGCTGTGGGGAGGCGGAAAACTCCGTCGGGAGTGGGCGGTCGCAGAGCGGGACCCCAGCAGAGGTTCGGCGGAGTTGGGCTGAAGTCCGCGACAAGGCAACGTCCGAGGTTCTTTGGAGTCGGGCTGCATCTTGGAACAGAGCTTCTAAGAACCGTTTCGTCGGAGTTGGGGCTGAAGTCGGCAGCAGAATCCCGTTGGACGTTCCTCGGTGCGGGGCTGAAGTCGGCGACAAAACCCCACAGGAGGAGATTTCCCGGTGTTGAGCAGAAGCGAAACACCGTCGGAGCTCCGCTGGAATTTGGCTGAAGTCAGCGACAGAACCCTATCAGAGGTAGCCGGAGTTGGACTGAAACAGAACTCCATCGGAGTTTCCCCGGAATTGGGCTGAATCCTGGAGCGGAGTCCCCAGGAACGGTTCCATCGGAGGTTTTCCCCGGAGTTGGGTTGAAGCAAAACCCCGCTGGAGGTTTCCCGGAGTTGACTTGAAGAGAGCAACAAAACTCCGTCAGAGGATCCCCGGAGCTGGACTGAAGTCGGTGACAAAGACCCGCTGGAGGTACTCGGAGTTGAGTTGAAGCAGAACCCCATCGGAAATTCCCAGGAGCCGGGGCTGAAGCCGTTGGCAAAACCCCATTGGAAGTTCTCTGGATTTTGGCTGCATCCCGGAGCCGAGCCCCTGAGCACTGTCCTGTCAGAAGCGCAGTGAAGCCCTCATCGGAGCCTGAAAGGACAAGGGGGGGGGGGGGAACCCAAAGATTTCCACCTCGGACAGCCCGACCTCACCCCATTGCGGAGCCTCGGCGGAGGTTCCCTGCTCCCAGCCCCGCTGCAAGCGGCGGGGAACCTTTTCCCCTCCATGGACTGAGATGGCCTCGGAGTTGGCCATGACCGCGGAGCTGCCCACCAGCCCCCTCGCCATCGAATACGTCAACGATTTTGACCTGATGAAGTTTGAGGTGAAGAAAGAGCCGGCGGAGGCCGAGAGGCTGTGCCACCGTTTGCCTGCTGGTTCTCTTTCTTCCACCCCTCTCAGCACCCCGTGCTCCTCCGTGCCTTCCTCGCCCAGTTTTTGCGCTCCCAGCCCCGGTGGGCAACCGAGTGCTGGTCCCACCGCCGCTCCCCTGGGCTCCAAACCGCAGCTGGAGGAGCTGTATTGGATGTCGGGCTACCAACACCACCTCAACCCCGAAGCGCTCAACTTGACCCCGGAGGATGCTGTGGAGGCTTTGATCGGCGCTCCGCACCACCATCATCATCACCATCAGAGCTATGAGTCGTTCCGGCCTCAGCCCTTCGGGGGTGAGGAGCTGCCCCCGGCAGCCCACCACCACAACGCCCACCACCACCATCACCACCACCACCTGCGCTTGGAGGAGAGGTTTTCCGACGACCAGTTGGTGAGTATGTCGGTGCGGGAGCTCAACCGGCAGCTGCGGGGATTCAGCAAGGAGGAGGTGATTCGCCTCAAGCAGAAGAGGAGGACCTTGAAGAACCGCGGCTACGCGCAGTCCTGTCGCTACAAGCGGGTCCAGCAGAGGCACATCCTGGAGAACGAGAAGTGTCAGCTCCAGAGCCAAGTGGAACAACTCAAGCAAGAAGTTTCCCGTTTGGCCAAGGAGCGGGATCTGTACAAAGAGAAGTACGAGAAGTTGGCGGCGCGGGGCTTCCCCCGGGAGCCATCACCTCCCGCAGCCCCAAAAACTACCGCCGCTGACTTCTTCATGTGAGCCCGGGGTGGGGTGAAGCGGGGGGGTAACATTGCAATGCCCCTATATTCCTTCTTCCCCCCCCTCCCCCCGATGTGGGGAGAGCAAACGATCTGCTTGTATAAAAATATATATATATATTATTTTCTTCTGAAAAGTTGTTCCGAAAATGCGGGGAAAATGGGACCCCCCCCCCAGCCCCATCAGGACTTAGACTGGAAAGGGAGAGGAGGGGGGGGTCCTGGGGAGGGGGACGCATCCCACAGACCTCCCTGTGTGGGGAGAGGGGGACATGTCCTATAGACCCCGTATCCAGGGAGAGCAAACAATCTGCTACTGTATTGTAATAAATATTTTCTTCAAAACAAATGGGGAAATGGGACCCCCCCTCCCCAACCCCATCAGGACTCGAGCTGGAAAGGGGGAGGTCCAGGGGAGGGGGATCATCCTATAGACCCCTTATATGGGAAGAGGAAACAATCTGCTTGTATGAAAACAACAAAAAAAAAAAACCAAGTATTTTCTTCCGAAAATACGGGGGAATGGGATCCCAACCACCCCCCCACCCCCCCCATAAGGACTTGGACTGAATCAAAGAGGGGTCCTGGGAGGGGAGGGGGCGGAAAGGCAGCGGACGTGGAGCCAGCCTGCATGCGGGACGTGTACGGCGTGCCGCCCCCGGAGCTCTATCGCCCTCCGCCCTGCGTGTTTAACCCCCTCCTTTAATGACCATTAATTATTATAATGAATTAATTTCGGGGTGTCCCCGTGCATTGCCCTGGGAGGGGGTTGGAGGGGAGGTCTGGCAGCGCTGTGCCCTGCCCGGCCCTCCACCACCTGCACCCCAACCTGAGCCACTCTTTAACTTATTCACCCTCCTCCCCCCCCTCCCTTGTACATATGTAGAAATTAGTTTAGTTTTTAGGGTTTTTTTTTTTTTCTGCTTTTTTGTTTGTTTGTTTGTTTGTTTTCTTCCTGAGCCTATATTTTGCTTGGTGATTTATGAAGAAAAAAAAAAAAAGACAAAATCCTTAAAAAAAAAAAAAAAAAAAAAAAAAAAAAAAAAAAAAAAAAAAAAAAAAAAAACACGAGTCTTAAAAGTTTGTATGTAATAGCATGCAAATAATATCCGAGTTAATTTAAATGATGTTGGGAAGAAGCCGAATGCACTATATACAGGAATCGATTGGGTTAAATAATACTGTTTTATAGAGATTTAAAATTATCTATGCTCTTAAAAATAAAAAAAATAGGGGAGGAGGGAGAGGGGGGAGATAACAATTAGGGCGACCTGAAAGGCAATAGAGTAATATATGAACTGCGAATGGTTGGCTGCTATCTCACTATGCACCAGATTTATTTATTAACCCTCTGGGAAAGGAATTATTTTAACCTCGGCGCTGACAAAAGGAGAGGAAAATGCACATTATTTCTCTGCCCAAAAAAAAAAAAAGGAAAAAAGAGAGGGATGGGAGGGGGGGTAAATAAGTAGAATTTGTGCAATTGTGCTCGGAGAGGAAGCGGAGGAGCAGTTTGTTGGGTTGTTTTGTTGTTGGTTTTTCTTAATGTTGCTTATTTAAAGAAGGAAAACACACACACGCATACACACAAAATGTTAATTATTTGGGGAAAACTGATATTAATCACGGGGGGTAGGGGGGGGGAACCCACGAGGGTCTTCTGACAAAGCGAGCTTTGGTGCATTTTAGGGACTGATGGTGCGGAGCGTTTTTAACGACCTGTTGTTTCGATTTGTGACGGTTTTAACGATGTTGCATCAAGATAAAAAACTTATATTCAACTAAAGCCTGGGTCGGTTGTTCTCTCGACGCGTGGACCTCCGTGGCTTTGCTTTTTGTTTTGGGGTTGGGTTCCTTTTCCCCTTTTCCGTGTCGCGGCGCTGGGGGCTCATTGGGTGACTCTTTGTTTTCCATCATTGTTGGTGTTACTTCCAGGGAGGGAGCGCAGCCCCTGGCTCTGCCCCGCTGTGCTTTTTGCTTTTCACTTTTTTTCTGTCTTTTTTTTTTTTTTTGTGTGTCCTGTGTGTGTTGTTGGTTGTTTTGTTTTGTTTTTTTTTCCAGTTGGGCATTTCCCAGTCCCTGTGTCCTGTGTGCCCCGGAGACCTTTGTCCCCGTGGTCACCGAAAAGTCACCTCCGTCCCAACGCGGGGACTGCGGATCCTGTTGGACCTCAGCTCAACCGAGCTTGATTTTAAATGGTAATAAATCTTAATTTTATTCTTGTTTTCCCCCCTTTTCACTGCTCTCTTCTGAGTGTTTTGCTTTTTTTTTTTTTTTTTTTTTTTTTTAAAGCAAGGGAGCAGGAAAACAAACCGAAAATAAACCAAAAAAACCTGGACTTTTCCTCCAAAGGAAAACCTCTGAAATTGACTTTTTTTTTCCCCTCAAGAAAACCGTAAAATGAGCATTATGGAAAAAGATAAAGCAAAAAAAAAAAAAAATAGACTTTTCAGCTAAGGGGAAAGATTTAGGCTCAGGTTTTTGCGATCCTTTTGGAGTCTGTGTGCTCCCGGCAGCTCCGCTCTGCGCTGCCGTCATAGACGGGCACAGCCATCGCTGTGCAATTCCAGCTTCTTTTCAACCATGCTGGGGCAGTGAGCACTGCGGGGCAGTTTGCAAAAGGGCCTCTTTCTGAGCTTGTTCATCTTTATTTTTAATTTTTTTAATTCTTTTTTCCTGTATTTTTGCCCAGTTGCGCCGCGATCCCTCCTGGCTCCTGCCGTATATCAACTTCCCAACATGAAATAACCCCGCTGCGCCTAAGCAGTTCCTCTCTATCTCGCTTTCTGCATCTCTTTTGGACTTTTGGGGACCAGAAATGCCTTCTTTTAATTTAATTTTTTTCCCTAGGAAGCAGCCCAGCTGTTTTGTGTCAGGTTTTTGCGCCGGGAGCTGGGGTGCGTGGAGAGGGGTCCTTGTGCCATGCGTGATGCACCAGGGCTGAAAGCTTTGTGGGATCTTTAGGGTTGGTCACCCGTTTTTCCTGTTGTTATTTCACGCCTGAAAGCTTTGCTATTCCCACCACAGTCTCTGCAGCCCCACTCAGCTTCTTTTTGGGACATTGCTTCCTCTCTTTGCTATTTTTTGGGGGGGAGCATATGAGAGCTCCCCGTTGGGGTGCAGCCAATTTCCCCATATCACCCACATCCCACTTCCTTACTTTGATACATTTTTTGGGGGCACGTTTCCAACCGTTGGTTCCGTGACCAGATCAAGGAGAGTCTGGGGAGGGAGAGGAAGGGTTGTGGGACCAACGCTTCCCTGAATCACGCCGCTCAGTTTGAGTGTCCCTGATCTTGGCCACCCCATCTCTATCCCTGTTCCTCCTTCCGTGGTCACCCCCCCATTACCTCTGTAGGGTTCACTGTGTGCTGTTCTGGGATGGAAGAGCAGCGTTGGCCGTAGCGTTTGGGGGCAATGCTGCTGTAAGAGATCTCACCCTGGGGTCTGCCAACCCACGATACGTTCCCCCACTGATCCTGCAGAGTGCAGGCATTTTGGGGACCGCGCACGCTTCTCTTTTTCCCCTCTTCCTGGTCTATGGGAGCAGATCCATCTCTGCAACTGCTATCCATGTGTTTCCGTGATGGCAGCGGCACTTGAAACTTCATCCCCTGTTCTCCAGGCACGGAGGTGATCCACACTCCTTGCGCTGCTGCAATTAATTGTTTTGTTTTAATTTTATTTTATTTTTTAATATTTTTTCCCCCGTGCTCTGATTTATTTTCTTCTGGGAATCCCCCCAGTTAGCAGAAGAGCCCCAAATCGTAACAACATATTAACAGTGGGGTCCTGCTCCTGAAGGGAACCATAGCATCCACAGGCAATATCTGGGGGCAGAGTCACCCCCTTCTTTGTTCATTCCCCGTCCCCTTGCAGCACTGGGGTGTGGCTCAAGGAAATGAGTACCCACATTGTCCCCTCATCACCCTGCCTCACTCATGGAAGATGCTGCTCCTTAACCCTTTGGGTTCTGTGTGAGGCTCCAGGATTTGGGGCTGCACGGTGTTTCTCTCCATGCCACCTTCCAGCGAAGCACTTTTAAAGCTTCACCAGCACTTCAGTGTGACTCAAACATCGCTGGGCTGGGAAATACCTGCAAGCCTTTCTTCCAGCATTCCTTACCAGTGAAGGTAGGATGAAGTGTGCGTTCCACAGAATCACCATCCACAGCAACCCTATAGCAACCCATGCCTCCTTACCCCAAGCTCATATCACAGCTTCCAGCCAAGCAAAGCCACCCATAACCCATTTCAGTTCGGTGTTGTCCCCCACTGCCACGTAGATGCTGGTAATGGGGGTATCAGTGCATCATCACTGAAGTACCCCTGGGTTATTCTTCATCAATTATTGATAATGATCCTCTGTAGGGTTTGCTCCTGAGGCGCTACAGCACACTCTGCCCAAGTCCTGACATCTTGGTAACCTGAGCTCACGCTGCAGCCCTGCGATATTCAATCATGCTGGGGAAGCTCGCAATGAATTCGGGGCTGCAAAAGTACAAATTAACTCTCTATAAAAACCAAAACCCCCCCCCCCCCCCCCCCAGCATAATGTCAGCATTATGCTTTGCAGTGCTGGGTTCAGGGCTGCTGCTGGTGTAGGTTGGAGTTGTTTTTTGAGGGTTGTTTTTTTTTTTTTTT